CCGTTCTTTCTTCTATCTCATAATGGACTGTTCCATGCATAATCGAGCCGTATGAAACCATTGTGCTGTAGAGGTCACTCTTACCACTCTCTGGTCACCACTGGTCAACACCGCACTCTACGATCCTGACATCACTACATGAACAATAAAAAGCATCCTTCTTTCTTCCCTCCCTTTCTCTCCCTAACTCTCCAACTTCTCGATCTCCAAAAGTCTTCAAAGCAAGGATTGGGGTCGCCTGAGTGCCGAAATTGCGTAGGAATACTCGCATCAACAGCAGCACTTGCCTAGGATAGCTAGAAAGTCAAAAGACGGCTGGATTTTGAAAAACCGTGAATTATTATTTACCCAAAACCTTCGAACTTAAGCAGATTTCCCAGAGTGCAGAACCTAAATTCAGCCCCCATGTGGTCGCGACACTTCAAAATCAGCAAGAAAGCATCAAAAAAACATCTGTTGTGCCATAATACGTTTTATTCAGGAGGACGAAGAACTGCAAAAACGGATCCTCCTGATTTACCGCCCAGGTGGCGGGGCTGACTCACATTTCCAACGATCCATTCATTCATTTCGGCATCTACCCTACTGCACGCCAGGAAGTCGAAAGCGCTATCTAATCCGTTTTTAAACTCGCGAAAGAGGGCACTACAGGAATAACAGTATATGAATGCTATTGCCACGTGCTACCACTCAAACTCTACAAGAAGTTTACACGGCAACAAGACTGACTGGGAAAAGCCTGAGCAGCTGATTTGGTGAGTTTTGGGAATTCGCTTCTGGTAAGGATATTATTAATCGCACATACAAAACACAAAATTATATCAAAAAATCGGATGAACAGAAAAAAGTAAATGAAAAAAGTTAGATGAAAAATGAATGACCGGGGTGTCCGGCCGTGTAAACATGAAAAAGGTAAAGGAAGAAGGCGAGGGACGGAGTGTAGCTGTGAAAAACAAAAAAACTTCAAAAGTAATTGAGAGTGAACTTTCACAGACATTGCAGGTTGATCCCTTCTGCTTGGGAGCGAGCTGCAGCGCTGACAAATACATATGCTGTTGTGGATTTTGCAAGCGATAAGCCATAACTGTGCTAGTGACATTATGCGAGACTTTTTGAGGAACGCGGGCTAGAAGCAAAAGAAGCAATTCTCAAGTAGATTTGTAATTCGCAGCAATCCTGCACTAAGATTCGTAATCGCCGTTAGCCATCCTGGAAAAGGTATTCAAAAAAGTTAAGAAAAGGTACTCAAAGGTACTCTTAAAAGGTATGGAAAAGGTACTCTCAAACAAAATTTTCAATAAATCAGCACAAATAAACTGTACATTACTAGAGCGAACAGAAGGTTGTGAAATATCACCGTTCTCGGATTCGCAGTGTTACTGGAAAGGTCTGAAAGGTATCCACCCAAAGTTGCCAAAGCTTTAAAACTGGCCTAAGCGAGCGACTGGTTTTCTGAAAGGCTTCTCGAACCAGTAACAACTGAACGGCGTAAAACTGTACCGAATTGATGGGAGCATGGTTGGAGCGTCGCTCCTTCTCCTTTCGACTAGCATTCGCAATGATTCGATCCACTTTAGCGCTCACGGACGGTGGTAGCTGCAGTGTTGCAAGCAATGAGCTTTGCGAAAATGATACAGCAGTAGCAGCAGCCGGCTTCCGTTGTTTCTGGGTTGGCGATGGCGGGATCAGTGCGATACTTGTAAGCTGCGGGACCTCCTTCCTGGATTTTCGCTGCCCGTTGTCCGGGCCACTGCAGTCATCTGGAGAAATGATTTTCGACGCTCCGCTCAGTGGTCCCTGTTTTTCATCAGCACCACTTTTTGTTGCAGTGTCCCCCGCCACTCCAGCAGCAACAGCGGCAGCACCATTCCCTCCTCCGGCAGCAGCCGCACTCGTATCAGCAGCCTCAGCCCCTCGTTCCTGGGTAAGCGGCGGATCGACAGCTAGCGTTGAAAAAGCAGCTGTAACAGCTGTAACCGTATTTTGTGCCTTTTGTTCGGCTGTTCGTTCCTCTTCCAATTTCTCATCTAAGTCATCGCTTACTGATGCTAAATTGACATACTCGCGAAAATCTTTGCGAAGTGCCGCAACATCCTCACGCCTCGAACGACCCGATGATAAACGCCTTTTCAACACTGCGGGCTCCACTACAGTTGCCCGGGGCAGGACAATGCTCCGACAGGCCAGATTCCGTGGCCTGATCCGTGAAGTTGTGGGAGGCGTCGGCGCTCTCAGGACGACTTCCGCTAGTCCTTCCCGTGCCTTGTCCATTTCCAAAATAACATCATCCGAGCAACTCGTACTAATTTCCGCTTGGCTCGTTGCAGCACCTCTTGCAGCGGCGAACCTCTGGTCCTCAGCCCGACGCCTCATTTGGAGTTCTGTGCCAGTACCGGTCTTGTTCTTTCCCGAGGCAACTGTCTCCTTTGTTTTTGCGGCGGTATCTATGCGTCGCCTTAACGCAGCAGCCTCACCTATTCGAGTGTCACTGAACGAGCCCACTTCTGGGATTTCGGCGATGGGTGCAACAGGAGCAACCGTAGAGTGAAGGGGAGTGAAAGGTTTTGTGAGGCCTTCCCAATGATTGAAACTCCGATAGATCACCGGATCGGAGGCACAACGACGCAGGCTTGCTAACAGCTGCGTATTGCGTCGTCGCGACACGTAATTTTTATACTTCCGCTTGCGCGGGATCACCACAATTGGCATGCGCCGGATGCTGTCAAAACCGCGACGTGGCATTCCGATGCCGTAGCGTTCCGGTGGCCTGACCACCTGACCGTTTGAAATCCGTGAAATAAGTCGCGGGGAGGGGTTCGACCGGACTGAAGGTGATAGGGAGGGTGAGGGGAATAGTGAAGCGGCGTGAAGTGAAGACTGCTGAAGCGGAGACGGCACGAGGGTTGCGCGCTGCGGAAGACGATGCGAGTAATAATGTCTGATCACCGGCGTACGAGTGGTCGCGGCAGCACTCGCAAGCACTGATCCCGCGAAGGTGGACTTCCTTAGATACTTTTGGCCTGTTGGCGGCGACCGCGGCTCTTGCTGAATCAGCGGAATCCGCTGGCAAAAACCATTGGGATGCGGCGAGGATGATGCGGTGATTACTGGCGAATTTGATGAAGACAACGGGGCCCACTTTGCCGGAGCCAGTGGTGGCAGTTGAAACGATGAAATATTGGCTGCCTTCGACTGATATTTCCACCACCACCACTACCAGCAGCACCAATACCAGCAGAAGAAGCAGAAGCAACAATCGCTGGATTGCCGTCGTCTTTGCAGCAGTAGCGATCCAGGATTGCTCAGGATGGTAAAGCCGCGCGAATGGTGCGAAGTGCAAAAATGTGGGAACGTCGTCGAGAGGAGCGACCTTAACGAGGTTATTGGTATGGACCAGAAGAGCGTCGTCGCCGGCTAGTTAGTTAGCTTGAGAAAAGCGATGAGCTCGAGTTGCTCCCACACTGCTGCCTGCTGCCGCTGCTGCTGATGGAGTCGTCCTCCGACATGACAGCCGCGCCTGCTCCCCTGAACAGCAGCAGCGGCATCCGAGGGAAAGCTCAGGAAGCCGCTGCTACTGCTCCTGCTGCTGCTGTTCTCCCCCCGGGGATGTGTTGCTTTTCTTCAATATCCCCCCTTGAACTGTCTCTGTCTCAAGTCTAATGATAACTTGCTATCAGTTCCGACTTCTCTCCAACTACCTCCACGCCAGCAGACGCCCCCACGCACCCTCCGGCGTTCTACTGCTCTCTGCCTCGTTTCCCACCAGCGCTCATTTTCGAGATGTATTGTCAGCGCATTCCAGCTTCGGTTTTCTTCCTTCTTCTCAAGCTGTCAAAAAACTCTCCCCTCCTTCTCGCCCTCTTTCCAAAAAAATAAAAAAATACGAAATACACGTAAAAAAAAAGAAACCATCAGGGCAAAAAAAGGGCTTGAATAAAATTATAACAGAAGAAACTCGAAAGCGACAGGATAAAAAATTCAATAAAAGTTGCACATTTTGCATCAAATCACCATTAACGCTGTATACCAACAGACTGACATTTTCACTCAGATTCTACGAGCTTTATCACGGCCTCCCTCACTCCTCTGGCACTTTGTTATTACATTGAAAAATTTTTTCGAAATTCAGAATCTCTCTACTTATCTCCTCTCATTGAAAGATGAAAAGAGTCAAGCCTGAGCGATAACACATGCCAGAGCCAGACACTTACTAGTAAAGCTGTAAAAGGCTCCCTCTTTCAAGGGATGCCCATAAGCAAGCTGACTAACTCCATAAGATCAATTAGTCGTAGAAAGACTGTCTATCCCGCTGAAAGCAGATCTGAACCATCCATCGCGAAACTAAGCTTGCCAGCATAAAAACATGGAATTTTTAAATACTTCCACAGTCTCGTAGCTTTCGCTAATTAGTCGGATAAAGCACCTTTCAAGACCTGACCCACGGCACTTTTATCAGTATTACCTACCCGGTTATAAAGGCGTAAGAGGTTCCCCTTCCGATAACTGGTCGGTATGCAAGTTATTAAAGTTATTAACATACTGAGCAGGCTAATGCCGTCCAAGTACTGGTCAAGACATCCTGACCTAGAGAGGACAGAAGGCCGTGAACCCCTCGCATGCAGCCACCTGCTTCTCATCAGTTATCCCCGCTGTAAAAACTAACGCAATGAGAAACTAAAAGAAATAATTTTGCTAATTTCAAGCAAATGCATTCCACTTCACAACTAATGAGCATGCTTCAAGCTGTTTTTTATACAAGTTACATGTGTCAAAACAAAAGCTGGAACGTATTCATTAGTGTAAAGCAAGGGATTGCAAGCATCCAGAAATTCCGGAGTTCTGGGACCCCAAAAAAAAAGGAGATACGTTTGGAGGGCTCCAAAATTACTGCATTAATTCCCTCCTTCCTCAAAAAAAAAAAACCCACATTTTAGCATTTGAGATGTTTTTCGAAACAGAAAAATATCAATTGCGAGAAGTTTGTTCTTATGCAAAGTGGATTGGATTGAAGAGAAAGACAATGAAAATAAAAAAAACAAAACTATAAAAAATGAAACAGACTGTACAACCTACCTCAAAATAAACCCATTCATCAATGTCTGTGATTATGGAGACCAGTGACCAGATGAGGGTGATCAACGATGAACGCCATCGCCGTAAGGAGAGGCACCAAATGTGAGAAAATTTTCAGAATGAAGTCCCTAGAACAGCCCAGCGAATTCAGTTACAGATTCAGCATCGGCTACGTACCAGCTCAGGCATGCCGACGCAGTCTTGAGAACCACGTCTTCTGTGAAAGTAAGCATTTTTAACTGCTTCTTATTTATTTCACATGGTTTTGCTCGAAGTGCAGAGAGAAGGCAAGAACAAGTTTTTTGAATAAAAAGGTTCATTGAGGTGGTGGGACCTGCGGTCCGTTTTCTGCTGTTGAAAGTCCTTTCTTGTACCGCGAGGAAATTTCTAAAATTAAGGCCACTTATCACTGCCTTGCGGATCCATAGACTACTGAGTTTAACATCAATGTTATGGAGACAGTGCTTCAAGGATTGAAAAGAATACAAAAAAGAATGAAATCGTGAACAGTGTGCTGAAAAGACTTCGTTTACCCTGGGACCCCAAAAAATCCATAATTGGGACTACTAAAAAGTAACAGCTCAATCACTGATGAGGTAGTTTGCAGCTTCGCTCGAACTGACTTCTCAGTTGCAAAGTTGAGAGTGGTGAAAAAGCAAAAATCACGACAAAATATTTCAAAAGTACGATCTGTACAGCAAGCTAACAAAGGCACACAAAACCTGTTCTTTCGAATTGGTCGAAATATTAAAGTGGTAGCTGGACCTTTCCCAAAAGAAAAGCCATGTGGCGCAGTTTCAAAAAAATTTTATGTAATCACTGAAGTGGCGCACAATCAACAAAGTTCGCAACACTGAATAAAGGGAAAATAAGTTCTCAAGCGCCGGCTTTTCAGTGCATGAGCGGAGTGTTGTTGGCTGGAGATAGAGCTTACGCAGTGCTGCTCGAATTGGCACAATTGGCCAAAAGATTTTTTCTGTAAAGAACGGGGAAACGCTTGCAGATTGAGCAGCACACTGAACGGACAAGTGGCCGATATCACAGGTCCACGACATACAAGAACGTTTAAAATTTCAATTCATCACAAAGTTAAAATCGCATATATTTGTTAAATACCTCCATGAATGAACAATACCTTAGTGTACGAAGATCGGTGACGCATCCATTATTTATGGTGGGAAAATACGTGAAGCCCATGGCCTTCTCATTCGGGAAACTTGCGAAGTTCATGGTGTTTTGACAAAGAAAATATGTATTATGTATACGACAATTTGCGGTGAAAGATAAACGTTTCCTTAGGTATCTTTATGCAGAAGATGAGCATATGCCTGCATTTCCCTGATGTGGGATAGGAGGAAGATCTGCGGTGTCTTGACGTAGGAATCAAGTAACGCATGAAGTGTCTTCGCGTGGAAGAAAAGAACCCCTACGGGGAACTGATGTGAAAGAGGAACAACGCCTGGACCCGTGGTGCCAGAGCATGGAAGGCGTGTCTGTGGTACCTTTATGATCAATAAGAGTAGCTTCTACGGCGAAGTGACGGATAATAGTACCAGCTACATCTTGATGTGGTAGAGGAACGACTTGATGAGCGACTTCTGTGGTGCCCAGACGAATGACGCCCACGGTGTCTTGACGGCTCGTGGCTCCTACGGCGCCTAGCCTTTCTTGGTAAGCGTCTTCTGTAGTGCACCGATGGCTCGTGGCGTCTACGGTGCCTATGCTTTTTTGATGAGCGACTATGCCTGCGGCTTCGTGATGAACGACGCTTGTGGTGTTTGCTGCGTTTGTGCTTTCTCGATGAGTGCCGTAGTTTGTGTCGTCCTGTCAAGCGACGCTGGCCGTTTCTCGGCCTGGATGGCGAACGACTCCTGTGAGGAGGCTTTTGCCAGAAGACGACTGATGCAAACGTTCCGGGCTCATACAACATACTTTCGTGGAAAACAAACTGCTAATGTAAGAGACGGGAGGCTCACGACTTCTTGATACACGAGACCAGCGCCGCTCAGCACTTCCCGTAGAGAGGGAGAAGCGGTACTTCGGACTAGGAGACGTGTGACGGCCAAGATTTTTTAGTGTGAGAAGCCAGCGATGCTCAAGATCTTCTAGCGCCAAACGCCCGAGATACTCAAAACTTCCTGGCATGGAAAAACAGCGACGCTTAAAAATCTGTAACTCGGGAGACTGGCGCAGCTCAGCACAATCTGGCATAGAATAACAGCAACGTGATGGGATTTGTGGCATGAAAGACCGGTGGTGATGGGAATTTTCCGACGCAGAAGGCGAGCGTAGCTCAGGATCACAACTGCGATGTTGCGTCATGAAAAATCTTCGACAACTGGGGTATTTTTAATGGAAGACAAGTAGAATCCACTGTGTTTTCCGATGAAAAAGAGGCGTGAAGCCAAAATAACTATGATGCCTTAACGGCGGAACCGATGATCAGTGAGCGTGGCGAGGAAGAAACTCGTGTTGACAGGGTAGACTAGTACATTTTTGCAACATGAGGAATTGTTTCGCGGGTCTGCTATTCGCGCTCTTTGATATGATCAAATGACAACTGCTCTACGAAGCTGAACAACTACTCCTGTGATCAGCATCAAACGACAAAGACTGGACATGCAACTACTGGTCAGAATGAGTCTGGCATGCCGTTGAGGGCTTTGTGCTCGTATTCGGTAGGGGTTTATGTTAAATTTATGCTAAATGCTAAAGATTTATGCTGAATTAGTGGAAAAATCACTCAGATCACCGAAATCAAGGGGCGCAACTTTTATCCGCCATGGCAATAAGCGCAAAAATGTCAGCTATATCGATAACTAGAAACAGAAGTGAGACAAAACGATAATTATGTACACGGGGAACGATCACGTGATAAGATGCACAGGGGTCGAACGAATTACGTCACACTGAGCTAAATGTCCACGGCTTGATGGAGGCCGACTGAGCTGTCTATGGCCTGATGGGCCGAAACATTTCTGTTCATTCAGTTTTCTATTATAATTTTATGTTTTGATATATATCGTGATCTTTTTATTATGCGTTTTGTGCGGTGCAAGAGCTGCACAAAAGGCATATTGTCACGGGGTTGTCTGCATGTGTATGTGTGTGTGTGTGTCCGGTGCATTTGTCCGCTGCTTTCAAATCGACAACCACAAAGGGGAGCTGAAATTTTATGGTAATGTTCCTTGCCCACGTGTGACCTTGCATACTTAATTTTTGTCCTCTCCTACCCCCGAGCACCACGTACAACCTCGTGGAAATTTTGGCTGTTAAAGATGTTATCTCGGAAATTATGAAAGCTTGGATGCTGAAATTTTACGATAATGTTCCTTGCGCACATACAGTCACTCACAAATTTAAATTCGGCTTTCCCCTGGCTCTGGACATCACGTAGAACACTGTGAACGTTTCGGCGAGGAAAATTATCTTGGGAATCATGAAAGCTAGGAAGCTGAAATTTTAGGGTATTGTTCCTTGACAACGTAGTGTGAAATTTCGCAACTTAGGAATCAGAGAGCATTTCAACTATTTTTGCATAACCAAAGTGCAGAGCAGTGGAAATCCTTAGCGGGCAAACGTTCGCTGGATGGAACTACGCAAAACGGATGATCGCACCGGCTACCCTGGTACGCGCCGCTGTTTATCATATCTCATGCGTATTTTGTTTCGATACTTCAACTTGTATTTCCGTTGTTTAGCATAGTATAGCCGGATTAATCTGAGCATCTCACACATGTGAAATAACAGCTCCTCGAGGAACTCAACCTATCTGTGTGAGGGTGTGCCATGACAAAATTGCTAAATTAGAGGAGCGATATAAAGCCGGCAAGGTGGATATCAGAAAACTATATGTTGAGAAATAATAGACCAACAGGATTGTACGCAGGCCATGTGTAAGGTGTTATTTTATGGTGCAAACTGCCTTTGTCTTTTAAATGTAGTGAGGTGATATTTTTCGATGCAGTGTCTGTGTTTCATCCCTTAGCTGTAAACACAGACCGGACTGTGCATGCGAGCAGGAGTGGGAATCATCAGTACAGCCTCCTACCCGCCATGTATTGAAAGGACATGTAACTAATTTGCTAGAAGGATGAGTGGAAAAGTTTGATACTGCTTGGGTAGAACGCTGCGTTTTAAGATTTTGCTTCAGGAATCGAAAACAATGGCCAGGCTGTGTATGAGATGGGAAAATCTGCCTGCAAACTTATGCATTACTGGATTTGCAGTGAATCTGAAATGCAGCAGAAAGATTTGTTTGAGTGCAGAGAATAAGCAGAAGCATACAATTCGATCAGATAAAAACACTTACGAAATGATCGGAATTTTTTTTATTCCACGATCGCCTTCTGGCACGTCGATTGCGCGACTCATTGCGTCGATGTCGCTCCGAGCTATTGCGTGGCTTTTTGTACCGTCTGTCGATGCTACTGGAGGATCGTTCGACGCGCCGCCGACGATTACCGCCCATTCCCGTGAAATTTCACGCCTGAATGCGAACTTAGAAAATGCCCAGGCGATATTCTGAAATCAAACAGAATCGTGATACGCGAAATTACGAGCGTAACGTTTGCAAGCGCTTCACAAATGAGCTCACACAGGAGGAAGAACGCTTTAAATATGGTGCAAATTCCTTAAATAGCAAAAATGTTCTTTGAGGGGATGACGACAATTATCCTCGAATACGCAACACGCTTAAATCCAAGCATCAATCTCTATAATCGCCTCTTATTTGAAGAGCTTTTAACAAAAAATGCAGATTTTTGGGAAGTCGATAAGAAGATGAAGCTCATCCGGCAATATTTCAGATCATACTTTCAATTACATCAGCTCTGAAACAATTGTTTAAAGAATGCTTATTCCCATATTTTCTAATTAAACATTCCTAAAGATCCTGTAAAAATAATTCCTTTAACGCAATTCAGCATCGAAAATGAATCGGACTGATGAACAGACGTCACATATCTGATGATAAGAGAAACGTCACAGCCGATTTTTCATAAAATTGGCCTTTCCAGTGGACTGCTGAATGCGAGGCAAAACACATTCTATAAATAGCGATGCGCAACAGGGTAGCCGGCGCGATCATGCGTTTTTTGCAATTTCGTCCACCGAACAATTGCCTGCTAACGGTTTTCACTGCTTTGGATTTAAATTTAAGAGGTTGCACACGGCCAGAGAACAGTCCTTCAAAATTTCAACTTTCTAGATTCCGCGGTTCCCGAGATAAAAATTTATCTGCCAAAAGTTTCACCAGGCCGTACATGTTATCCGAAGACAAAGGAAGGGTGAACATAAATTTTCTGGACCGCACGTGGGCAGGGAGATACCCATAAAATTTCAGCTTCCTAGCTTCCGTGGTTCCGAGATCACAATTTTCCCGGCCACAATTTTTACGGGGTCGTACGTGTTGCTTGCGGGTACGGGAAAGCTGAATTTAAATTTGCCGCGTCACCCGTTGGCGGGGAACACTACACCAAAATTTCAGCCGCCTAG